GGAAAGAATTATGGCGTGTAGGTTCATTGTTTATTGAAGTAAACTTTGCTTAACCTAAGAAAAAATAGGTCTCCAACATTCTCGAAAATATAATGGCGGTAATGAACATTTTTAGGTATTTTAAAAAAATACGGTTGATTAATGTTGGGAAAAAAATTTGAGAGTAGGGTGTAGAGGAAATTAAAAGGATAAAAAAAAAATACACATGTAATGTTATGAGAATTGACTTATTCAACTTTTTTCTCACGAATAAAAACTCGAAAATATGAAAGTTATTCTTTTTCTTGGTAATGTTTTATACCAAGAATAATTTTCAATTTGGTAACAAACATCAGAAAATACATTTGTGGCACCTTATTAATGATGATTTGGAGAGTTTTTCATGTGGTAGAGATAATTATTTTGGTCTTTTATTTTGTTTGAATGGTTAAATTTATGTATCGATGAATACTAAAACTCAAATCGAATCTAATCATAATTAATTATTTTAAACCATTTTTTTAACTCGCATAAATTAGTAACTTATTTAAAAAGTGTTACATAAATTGATATATAAAAAGTGTTACTATAAATACAATATTATATATGTAAGTATAAATTTATTAGACATATACTCACACATAATTTTAATGTTGATTTTAAATAAAATTCAACACTATCTATTATGTGTTACTATAGTCTATATCTACACTTTTTAATAATATATCAATATATATTGTATCTATAGTATCAATAAAAATATTTTTTAGTGACAAAAGTATTATATTAGTAGATTACAAGATAATTTTTTTTAAGTGTCAATGAGAATATGTAAGACAATATATTCAGTTAACCATTTTATCTTATATGTATTGCTGTTCCCCCACTCATGTATGAAATAGACATTGAAAAAGAAAAAGACAATCCCAATTTTATCAATAATTAATTGCTTAACCAAAAATGTAAGCTCTCATTCAGCAATTTCGTCCTCCACCTTCGTGTGAAACACAAAGCTTGGGAAAGCAGTTGTTATGTTCCTGCATTAATTTCACAATTTATTAATTATATAATTAGAACATCTCAACAAATAGTTTTAAAAAATGTAAGAAAAATTAGTTTTACACACACGTACTTCAGGTAGGGTAGTGTCATGACTTTTAACAAGGAAGGGTTTTGACAAACAAAGTCTCGCCACTCAGATTTGTCTATTTTTCCATCTTGATTGGGATCCGCATCCATGAAAGTCTGCTCGTAAGGGCAAAATATAAAGCTTTAGCATTTTTATTTTGGGCTAATTAAAGAAAGAGAGAAGATTAACGGTAGGATTAATTTTAACGAACACAACTCACCTTGTTAATAATAGTTTCTATCATATCATCCGACAATTTAATTTCACATTCACAAAGAAGTGCAATTATCATTTGCTTCACCTGTCAAAAATCACCAAAAAATTCGAGAGTGAATGGCACGACAAAACATATTTATGTATGTTTAGAGGGTTAATAGTTATACAAACTAGTTTAAAACAATATTATATTATCAATTAATTATAAATTATTACTAATATGACTTATTATATATATGATGTTTTGTGATTAGATAACTATATGTACATAACCTATTTTCTTGTGTTCAAATATATAAATTTGTAATTATCATTTCATAAAAGGCATATCTATATAGATCGTTATTTCAATAGGTTATTCCAAACAAAACAATTCATTAATTCCTTTATATTGAGTATACATGAACAAAGTAATTAAAGTCTTACCTCATGGCGCTCTATAAACCCCGTATTGTCTAAATCGTAGAGCCTAAATGAAACTGCAGAAAAATCCCAAAAATTTATAACAATACAATCAATAATAATATGAATTTAAGGATAACCCAATAGAGCATGATGAATTATGTGTTCAACTTACAATCGATCTTGACTTCTATTGGTGCATTTGGGTGGAACACATCGAGTGCTCTAACGAAATCACCGAAGTCAATCACTCCTTTCTTTTTGACATCAAACAAATCAAAGATCTATGTGTAAAACAAAGAATATAATGTCAATTGACTTCCAAAGTTCCAATTAATAGAAAAATGTTACTTAATGTTGAAATGCTACCACGCGAACAATAAACACACTATAGTTGGTTTATAACAAATGCTGGATCCAACCAAATGTTAATTGGATCACAGAAAAAGTGTTATAAGATCAAACAAGGAATAATAAATTGAGACTTTCTATTATAACAAAAGAGTGTTGTATCGTACCCGACTTGTAAATAGATTTTCTTTTTTCTTATTATTGAAAATTGCCAATTGAAATTCTTCCTGCAAAAGAATACTTATCATCAGTTATGACAGCATAAGCACTTAAAGGTCAATATGAAAAACACAAACAAAAATACATTGCAATGCAAAATAGATTTTGCTAAATAGGATGTTAAACCATTTGTTTAAAGGATGGATTGTTAGGATTTAAACTAAGTCTCACTTGATTAGAACAACATGAAAAATAAGTGTTTATAAAACATACATATACTCCATTAATAAAAGACTTTTCAAATAATGATCAAAAATAGAATTATGAGAATATAAACCTCAAAATGAACAATATATTACCATTATGAAATTATGAAATTTTGTGTCCAAATACCCCTAAATATATTGTTAAATAACAATAGATAATATTTCCTCTGTTAAATATATCCCTCTCAAACAATAAACAAATAACCCAAACAATTTCATCTTAATACTAATACACTTAATCATAAACATAAGAAAAAACTCTATAAGAATTGCGCACAAGGTAGTAATAGGGAACAAAGGGGAGATAAGAAATAACGTATTTTGTATTTGTTACCTTGCTTATTAGTCCATCATCCGTGACGGACCTGCTGATACTCTTAAAAAGCTCATATAATGCTTCAACGTCACTGACACTGACTGGTAAACCAAAAATTAAATGTATTAATCAATGCATCCATTATCAATTCACACAATGATATTAGTCCCAAACTTTCATAAATAAATAAAAAATGATATTGGTCCCAATTTTTCTTCGGAAAAAATCCTTTTTAAAGAATCACCTATATTTTTGTATTTTTTATACTTTGTATGGTACATTTTACACTGTTCTGAGTATGATTTAATAAAAAATATGCTTTTAGTTCTTCAAAATAATGAACTCGCCCGTATACAAAAGGAAGAAAATATGTAAATAACAAGCACCTCAAACATCTGAAGAAGAAAAAACATTAAAATAGTTATGACTCGAGACAAATAGCAATCTCGTAATTGTGCAAGAATTACAACTTTGTTTGATTTTATTTAAGAAAAAAAAATCAACTTACAAGTTGTCTCTGCCGCAAGAGCAAATGGATCTTCCATTGGGAATTCTCTAACTCTGGAATGAAAACAACCCATTGTGGAGGAAATGCAACAACACAGCACGCACTAGAGTAGTGCCCGAGCTTCAATAAATTATATATTCTCTAGAACATCTAAAATCATCCAGTTAACACCACAAAAATAAATAATTAGTAACAATCCCATGATTGCACATTCGCACATGCTAATTAGCTTAACTAAAATTTGACCAATACAAAATAAAATAAAGAACATTGTATAAATGGGAAAAAAAGTTTAACACCACAATAATATTTGGTCGATAAGAAGATGATTATGCGTTCGACACTTTCCAGAAGAATAATTTTTAGATTATTTTTTTTTTCACAAAAATTTGTTGTGGGGAAAGAGATAGCTCTCAGAACGGGAACTAGGCTCTTCAAAACAACATGAATGATGAGAAAAATATGAATAATGAATATATTAAAAAAAAATAGACCTTCACTTCAGGTTTCTCCTCTGTGAAAAAAAACACCCAGATACAATAAACTCATAAAATCATAACTCCATGGATCCGGTCAACAATTGCATAAATTGAGAATTTATAATTAAACATCAACATCATATCGTTAACGCCTAAATCAAAGTGGAGAAAAAACTGTCGATTAAACCCATTAAACACATGATACAATTAATCGTAAAAAGAAAAGAAGAAGAAATTGATACGTAAAATTTTGAGACATTCAAATTATTTCCCCCCTCTTCGCCTCGTAAATATCATGCATGCACACGTCAAAAAATAAATATAAACAAAATAAAATCAAACTCAATAATCGTGAAAGAACATAGACATGGGAATACAATGTCGTGGTAAAAAAAGCTCACCAATAGGAGAACTTTCCCCACAAATTTGGCGTTTGATGTTTCAACAAAGTCTTTGGCCATTGGTATGAGGCGAAGACGGGAACGAAAAGAAAATGAGAGAGAAGAAAGGAAAAAGGGAATTGTAATAATGAGAGAGGAAATCAAGATGTAATGAAAGAGTGGGGTTTAAGGGTTATATATATATAGGATGCTGTTGATGCTAATATTGACCAATTTCCTCAACCCAGAAAGGTTGGGAATGGCCAACCTGTCTCTTACTCCCAGAGGAAACTAGACAGTTACAACCATTCTTCATATTACAACAGAGCAATAATACTTCAACAAATAACTAAAATTATTCTTCAAACCAAAAATAATGTTTAATTAGAGTGTGTAAGGTTTTTCATGCTAAATTATGTAATATGTTTTTATTGTAAGTTATGTTGAATGTATCGGTCTTGCTTATTAAATTACAAATTGGAAATACTTTTTAAAAAAAAAGCACAAATCATATTTATTAATTATAAAATTCATATTCGTAAATAATAACTATTGTTTGGTAACCTATACGATATTTTATTGCTAACAATATTCTTTGTCAAATTTATTGTGGAAAAATATATATAATTTAATATGATCTATCTATATATATGTATCTTTCTAGATAGATAAATACTTTCTTTTATAAATGTAAAGGAAATTCTATGGGTGTTGCTAAACAAAAGTTATTAATTTTTAAAAGAAATTACTAATGATAAAATTATCCTTTATTTTGATTTTTCATCTCGCCGGTATATTTCCTAACTTTTCATCTTATTATTCTTTTTTAAATAACAATCTTTTATTTATAATATTAAATAATAGCTATACATATATAATTATAAAAACATATATTAGTAAAATTCTCTACAAAATAGTATTCCTTTGTATTAATAAAATAGATTGCAAATATCAATAAAAAAAATAAAAAGAAAAATAAGGAGAAAAATATTTGGGTAATATAGGTAGTCCAATTTGTAGGGATGTTAATTCAAATATAAGTTTGGGTTCAATTGGGTCATAAAACCTCTGCCGTTCTCGTAGGCCAATTTTATTAATTATAGAGATGGATGTTTTCATTTTTAAATAGAGACGAAACAAAATACCTGCTGTAAGTAGTCAAAGAAGACTAGAAATGCCTAGGATCATGTCCATCTCAAACTCTGGCTAAATTGTTTAGAGACAGAAAAAACTTTTCTTAAAAGACAGATAATATGTGGTTGTTAAATAGAAAAGTGTGTACAAGTAATTAATACGTAGAATCTAAGATTAAATTGTTTAAGCAATATTTGAGTTTGATTTTTGATAAAAATAATGTTCTAAATTTTATTTATCTTGAATCAAATTAGTTTAAGACAAAATTTTAGGATATTAATACAAAATTAATATATATATATATACATATATTTTATATTTTTAAATAGTTTAATTATGATTTTGGTTCCTGTTAATTTATAAACTCTACCTTTTAATCTTTAAGGTTAAAAATGTTATATTTTAATTTTTATATATATTATTTTGTCCTCTTTTAGTCTTCATCCTTTATTTTGACAGGGACTAAAACTATAAATATAAACAACTATGGAGAATAAAAGAAAAAAAATCATGTATAAAAATTAAAAAAAGAAATTTAATTACAATAAATAAAGTAAAATTTATAAAATTATAATAATGAAAAAAGTAATTAAAGATTTTTAAAGTCTTTAAAAGATATTCTGTTTTTAAATATTAAAAAATAAATGTATATCGAAAATCACTTATTAATTAATTTGTGAGCTTTTAATCTACAACATCAATAAAAGAGATACTTTATTTGGATGTCAACAATTTTTTTAGACTTTTTTTTAATCTTTAACTTTTGTTGAGCTATTGTTTTATTTTTTTTAATTAAATTACTTAACTACTTCACTATTTTAAAGTTAATCACTTGTTTTTTTGAATTTTATTATTATTTTTATTCTTTTATGACGAGGCATGGACCGCCTTACTTTCACTAGTAGCATTGTAATTAAGGTATATAATTTCCATTTAATTACCTAACAGGTCTTAATCTTGTTTAAATTTATTTTTTTATTCTTATTTCTCTCTCTTCACCATCTCTCCTTTCTTTATTTTCCACACAAACCCCTCCTGCTCCAACCAATAAAATTAAACGCAGAAGAAAAAAAAACATGAAAATAAAATGATAAAGAAATGAGAGAATAGAGCTATAGAGAGTTTCTGAAAAATCCTGTTTCTTCGTTTTTCCATAGTTTTTTTTTTCCTTTTTTATTTAAAATAATAAAATAAAACAATACTGGACACTGCGAGCTATGTGTTAGAGCAATAAAAAAAAAAGTCATATATAGACTAAGATTGTTTGTTCTTTTTTTTTTTTTTTTACTCGTTCATAGAGTATTCACCACCGACAGCATGGCTAATCTCCTCGCTACGTTGGAGGGACCTCAAAAGATGAGATAGTTGGTCTCAAGTTTTAACGCGACTGTATACACAAGACATGATTCGAACCCTTGACCTTGCTTAAGAGTGGATCAACCCCTATCATTAAACCGCACGCTTGGAGTTTTGTTCTTCTTTAATGTAATAAAAAAAAAAGGACCATTTCTTCTTTATTTTTGCGTGTGTTTGGATTTCATTTTAGAAAGTAATTTTTTCTTTTCTCTCCATGTTCAACAATGAATTTACACTGAAGCTATTATTTGTTCCTTTTACTTAAACATAAAAATCCAGGTTTAGAATCCAATACAAATACGCACTTCAAAATCTAATTTGATGGCTCACCCACCCACCCGTAAGGTGAAACCGAATTGATCATGATTGCATATCATTTTTTTTTCATCCCATCCTAAAATGAATAAATGCAACTTCCTATATCACTATTAGATATTATTTTACATACTGATAAAAAAAATAATTTTACATGCAAAATCCCATTCGTGATTTTTTCCTTCTTTTTCTTATAACAATATAAACACCATATCAAATAATAATTATGATAAGAAATATTATGAGTTCAAATTTGAAAGACTTTTACAGGGGTTTAAATTTCTAAAATATCTCGAAATGTTTATTCATCTAAATTAATTTAACAAATTTGATGATCTAAAGTGAATCAATTATTTTGATTTGATATTTTATTTAGTTTGCCTGGATCAAATCTAATTGAAATGACATCATGTGTAAATTGATTTTAATATCGAATTCACAATATTAAAACTTGAATTGAAACAATTTATTCAACATCAAGTTTTTGTTTGATTTAGATTAAAGAAAAAAAAATTACCATCTCAAAGAAACCAATTAAAATTAATTTATTTTATTTTATTTTTCTAAAATTCGAACCAACCTTACCAGTGATTTACTCATAACAAAATTTGAGTATCTTTTTATTTATTTATTTATTTATTTTATATACATAAAATATGATCATATGAATTATTTAATACACAACAATAACTTTTTAAAAAATAAGTGATTGTATAAATAAATCATAACTTTATCTCTTAAAAATATATCTAATATATAATTTACTAGAATATTTTAAAAAATTGTGTAATAAAATAAGTATTGAATGAACAAACTTGTTATATTTAATATCTAAAAAATATAAAATACATATTATTTAATTTACAACTTCTGTTCCCGTACCTATTTATATTCTCCAATACTAATAAGAGAGAAAATTTTCATCTAATTAGTTTCTAGCATTTATTATTTTTGTGTAAAAAATTGTCAATTAAATAAAATATTTTAGAAAAAAATACAATTAATACAACTGATAATAAAAAATAATTTAACAAAAAATAACAAATAAAAAAGTGAAAAAATTTATTTTAGGACGAAGGTAGTAACATATAAATTTTTATAATAAAATGTTATAAAAAAACATATTTTAAACATATCGAATAGTTGAAAATTAAGAGTTATTCACTTGAAATTAAAAAAAGTAATTTAAAAAATCAAACATTTGTTTGAATCAACCTCATTTATAAATTTATAGTAAAACATATTTTTTTTATATGAAAAAGAATTTTATAAAAATTTAATAATAAAAAAGTAAAGAAGTGGGACCCAGTGTGTGGGGACGTTATTCTCCCAAGTCTGAAGCGAAAGCGACCTTATCATGCGTTCCGTTCCAGCCGACGCATGAACTAAGCATTTTATTTTATTTTGTCAACAGTCAACACACTTTTTCTCTTTACATTTACCACCAAACTATCAAACACTGTTAAACCAAAACTTACAAGTTACCCTTTTTCTTGCACCCTTTGGCGCGTCTCACATTATATATCATTTTTTAATATAACACTAGCTTAGATTTTTCTCATCTTTATTTCCATGAAACATTATTCCCATTCCTCGGTATGCGTTTTGCCTTTTTCATCATTATTATCGTCAAATATATCTTAAAAATATATTTTAACTTTTATTTCCAAGACATAGAATTCCCTACCAAAAAAAAATCATTTTCCAATTCTCAATCATTAACAATTTTTGGTACGTAGCAAAGCCCCATCTCATCCATCTACCTCTAGCTCCATTTTATGTAACAATCAGAAATAAATGTAACTCCCTATATTTTGGTGTGAACAAGGATGTCCAAATCAGCAGTTAGCTAGTGTACAATTTCTCTTGAAGTAAAGTTTACTTTTTCTTTTTGAATAAACTCGTTTTTCTTCCACACTGTTGTGATCAAATCAAACTCATCACCGTACTCGCTACTCCCACTTGTTATTTAGTTCTGGACTAGGGGATTATAGCACAACAATAATGAACAATAAATTGCTTTCACCTTTCAAGAAAGCGCGTTGAGGTGATAATTTGCTTAGAGGGTGAGTTCAGTTAACTGGGTCTTGTCTCTAGTTTTAATTTAATTTGATTTGAACTCTTCTTTCCTTTGAAAAACTTAATTTTATATTTGTCCTAATTGGACTTTTAAGGTGATAATGTGGATATAAAACCAAATCCATTTGCTTATTTATGGTCTTCTCTTGTAAACAGATTTGGTGAGATTGGATATGGAAGAACGGTACGAGACATTGAAGGAGCTTGGTTCGGGGAACTTTGGAGTGGCAAGGTTGGCCAAAGACAAGAAGACAGGGGACCTTGTTGCTATCAAATACATAGAAAGGGGAAAAAAGGTTCACTTTTTATGAAATTTAGGAAATATTTTATGTTTCATCTTTTCTTCAGAAATCTGAAATTCACTTCTCCAGATTTTGTATACTGGATTTGAATTGTGTGTTCTTTGTGGAAACTCTATTCATCCCATGCTGATAATATGGTTTTTCTTCTATTAATAAGTAGTCTTGTGATAGAAAAAAAAATGATCTCATTGTGCTGGACAACATTTTGTACCTGAAGATGATGTGTGATGGATTTCATTTTTGGGATGATAAAAAATAATTTGATTTTCTTTTGGATTTTGTTAAACAATCTTAATTAGCTTACATCATCAGATGCAGCACTACTGTTTAGGTATCCTGATTCTCATCGTTATGCACAATGGAGTAATCTCACATTTTTGTTTTTTAATATTTTTTAACATTGTGGTATCAGATTGATGCGAATGTTGAAAGGGAGATAGTTAACCACCGATCTCTAAGGCATCCAAACATTATCAGGTTCAAAGAGGTAAGAGTTTGTTTCTGTACTTCAACCGCTGCTTCACTGGGATCTTTCCAAGACATGCAATTGGACATGATGAATTTTTTAGATAGTTTTGTGCATTTTTTTGATCCTACAGCTCTCAATGCAAAACTGCTTAAACCTGTATTAGACCAAGAAAAAAAAACTCTGCACTTCATTGGATGTTCTTGACTCAAAGAAATGCAGGTGTAACTCATAATGCCCTATGCAATGAGTTATTATTGTTAGCATTAATGTGTCAAAAGCTAAAGTGTGTGTAGCTGTAGCCTACTATCTTGCTTGTAACGTTGTTGTGATAAGAAATGAGGTCAAGATAAATTGAATTGAGTTTTTGTTTTCATATCAGCGGGAATCTGTAAGGTGAACACTTACCTTTTGTTCAGTTAGTAGCTTGTAACAATCTTTAATGTTGTGATGAGCGTGTCTGTTCTTTTCTGTGGGCTAAGATTAAACATGATGTGTTTTATTCAGAGAACTTTCAGAAGTTATATAATATATACACATCCTGGAAGTCAGATTTTTTCTGCAGGTATTTCTGACCCCTACTCATTTAGCTATTGTCCTGGAGTATGCTGCTGGTGGTGAACTCTTCGAGAGGATATGCAATGCTGGTCGATTGAGTGAAGACGAGGTTGTGTGTGTGTGTGTGTAATAATGATTCCTCTACACTAAATTATTAATTCATTGTTTTGATGAATTCCCTATATTGCAGGCAAGATTTTTCTTCCAGCAACTAATATCTGGAGTTAGCTATTGTCATTCCATGGTATAATATCTATATAAGCATTCGGATTTTTTTTTTGGGTTCATTTAAAGCCTTGTGTAATATCATTTAATGAATCCTACTGCAGCAAATATGTCATAGAGATCTGAAATTGGAAAACACTCTATTGGATGGAAATCCAGCTCCACGACTTAAAATTTGTGACTTTGGATTCTCCAAGGTTAATAACATCTCATTACCAAAATGAACTTTAATGAAGTAGTCCTTTCATATAGTATTTGTTTGTTGACTTTCCTATTTAATTTAATATTCAATTGCAGTCTGCTTTGCTGCACTCTCAACCTAAATCAACAGTTGGAACTCCTGCATACATTGCTCCAGAAGTTTTGTCACGAAAGGAATATGATGGAAAGGTATTGTGAATCGTGCTTAATAATTATGATTGAAACTCATATTATCATATAAGTAACAATTCATCATATTGTCCACAAATGCTCAATTTTGTTCACAAATTGGTAATTCAGTAGATTGCAGATGTTTGGTCGTGTGGTGTGACTCTTTACGTCATGTTGGTTGGAGCATACCCATTTGAAGATCCAGAAGATCCTAAAAACTTCAGAAAGAGTATTGGGGTGAACTCTTACTTGACTTAAAAGAGATCCTTTATGATTAATAATACCTTTTAATCATAGCAGCAAGTTTAAACTCTGATTATTTCCTTGGCAGAGAATTATGAGTGTTCAATACTCCATACCTGACTACGTACGTGTTTCTAAGGAGTGTCGACATCTTATCTCAAGTATTTTTGTTGCCAATCCTGCCAAGGTAATAATAATAAGTATTATTAATTCTCTCCATCCATAGGATTTATATAAGCACCGTTAAGATCTACATAACTATAAATCTTCATGATATTGGCCAAGCTAAATTTGTTGGAGATCCTCATGTTGTTGAATAGTGACATGGAAAAAATATAATGTACAAGGAAAATAATTTTCATCTTACTAATTAATTTTTGTAAGATTGGGTTGGACAAAATTTAAGAAAATTCATACTTTACCTTCAAAATGTCACAATGAAATGTTATGAAGTGCATTAAAGCGGATTTGATTATTGTAAAATTTCACTTCCTTAAAATGATAACAATACTTAAAGATTGTTGTTGGATTATAATAAGGTCAAAACATATTATATAAGTAAAGGAAAATCATTATTTTATAAATCAGTTATGTAAAGTTGATGTAGACATGAAACTCACATTACAAGAAAATTCATAATTCACCTTCAAAATATCATAAACATAATGAAATGTTGCGGAGGGTATTTAAGTGGATTTGTTTCTTGTATGTTGAGAATCTGCCTGTATTTTCGAACTTACTAATTCTCGTCCTTGTTAAAGAGGATCAGCATCTCGGAGATAAAACAGCACCTTTGGTTTAGGAAGAACTTGCCGAGGGAGATAATTGAGGGTGAAAGAAGGGGCTACGTGGAGATACAAAAGGACCAACCAAGCCAAAGTGTGGAAGAAATCACGCAGATTGTACAAGAAGCCAGGACAAAAATCCAAACTAGTGAACAAGCTGGCATAGAATCGTCCAATGCTGTGCATGGTGGTGATGAGGCTAATGAGGAAGTTGATGTTAATGGCCACCATGCCAAATATCCAGCAGGCCTTCATTAATTTGTGTTTGGGTAGATTCCCTATTTTGTTTACCAAAGCTAGTATGCATTCTTCGTGTGTGTGTGGGGGGGTATAGAGTTGAATGAAACATGGAATTTGAAAGTTGAGTTGGGCTATTTAGCAAGTTTGTGATTGTGATTAGACTGTCAAGACATATAAAATGAGTATTTTTGTTTTAATTTGGACTACTCGATTAAGACATAGAAATCACTAATTAGTGTTGCTTCAATTATTTTTAAGTATCAATTTAATATTTAGCATACATTTTTATACTGAAAGATAAAATAAAGAAAAAAATATTTCACTTAGCATGCAAGTTAGAAAGAAATATTCAAATAAACATATGATTTATTAAATAGCATGCTAATGTATAAAAAATATTATATTATGAGAAGGGAGATTAATAGAGATTACAACAGACTAACATAGAAAAGAGACACAAACTTGAATAGAAATTATGGTGACAGGAAGTAATGGGGAGTAATTTTTTTTAATTTAAATATAAAACTAGTTTAATTTAACTCAAGTTTGAGAAAATAGTCACTTTCAGGAGACTAACAAAAATATTTTTTCAAAATAAATTAGATCAAATATGCACAAACGAGAAACTGCCAAGTGCCAACAATGCATCCATTGGGCTGACTTTTTACATCAGCTATGTTAACTTTGCAATGAACCACGTAAGAGTTAGGTGCAATATGGGTGAACAATGAAGGCATAGCAACAACTCCTTCACAGAGAAACGCATGTGTGATGCAAGTAAAAAAATGACTTCATTCAATTCTCTGTATTTTTTTATTTAATAAATAAATTGAATATATAGATATATAATAGTCATTTTAATGAAAACATATTCAATTGTTTAATTTACTCATCCTTAACAAATTAACAAATAACAACTAATTAATAGAAGGACATGTCATAACAATAATTGAATTTTGGTAAGTGATTAAGATGAATACAAAGTTTTGGATACTTGTTTACAAAAAAAAAAAAAAAAAATTGCGATGACATTATGCATTTTTCCTATAAAAAATGAGCTTCATCAAACATATAATTAGTCAAATTCTAATAATTTATAAACAATTTAATTTGTTTATATCATTACTTGACACTTATCATCCTATTTATTTAGCATGTCCAAATTTGTTACTTGAATATAATACTCTCGATGTAAAAATAGAATGCATTAGTTATCTTATTGGCTGGCAATATATTTCATTATTTTAATTCAATTTCTGCATCTCAACCTATTGTTTAGTTAATCTTTTTGCCTAATAATGGAGCTCAATTATTTCTACACTTTCTGGATTTCCTATATGGTTGGTGACAGCATGAACCAAAGAAACAAAACAACACGTTCTCGTAACACAGACATAGTCAAAGACTCAACTCAACCGGGACCAAACAGGACAAAATGCGTTCGATCTAAACTCTGAATCCAGAGCATCCCATTTCCATTCCCCAATCATTTTCTCACCGTTTCTTCCATTCTACACTGTTGAATCATTATGATTATGATGTGATTACTCTCTCTTCCATTTCATTCTCATTACCACTGTTCTATGAACCCACTTTTTTTGAAGTCAACGGTCTTCGTATTTTCCTAACCAACTCAATTGAGCAAAAGCTTATCCATTTCCTGCCAAACTCTCCAATGGGTCGGAGGAACATCGAACCGAACTCCATTCTCTCGCACCGTTTGATCCTCCCCTTGGTGTGTTTCGCTTCGTGCGGTTTGGTCTACGCGCTCCTCTCTGCGGTGCTCGCGAACAGCAGAGGCAGAGTTTCGGAGTTTGGGAGGTTCGTTGAAGACGGTGCGGCGGCGGAGAACGATGGAGGGTGCTGCAGGGGGATTCAGAATTTGGAGCTTTGGGGTGCAGCTGTGAAGTGGGGTTCTGAGTTTAAATTCAACGATTCCCAAGGATGCTGCAACGCGTGCAAAGCCATGTGTTCTGGGAAAGATGGGCCTTGCCTTTGTGATACTTGGGTCTTTTGTGGGGATCGTAAGCTCTGTGGATCCAAGTTTGGTGAGGTGAGTAAGATATTTACTTTTCAGATTGCTGATTTAGTAGTTGTTTGAAGATCTTGTTGAACATGCCAAAATAGTATACATATAAATGAGGAAAAGTCTGGCTCCATGAACTAGCTTCTAGGGCTAAAGTCAAATTTTAAGACGATATTAGAGTCTCTACAAGTGATTATTGTTGGTCTTGTCAGGTCACCTGTTCACCAATAGGTGGTCACACTTGCAAATTTTATGCTTGAAATGTCTAGTCTCTGAGTGTAGAGAGTATATTTGAGATGGTTATATGACCAAAATAGTACATATAAGTAAGCACATGCCACATTCTATGACTTAACATTTGGGATTAAGTTAGGTCTAAACTCAAATTGTAAGAGTTCTTCTTCCCGTTTGGGTTGATTTATTGGATTCACTCTTGCTGTTTAGTGTTGCCTTGGGGTTTTAGTCTTTTGATAAAAAACTTTACCTGAGCTGAGACAGTTTTCAATTTTGTTGGTTCAGTGTTGGTTGAAGAAACAAAAGGACAGCTTAGCACCTGAAAGGCAAGAAGGAGCACCTCCAGGGGAAGTGGTTGGTTGGACTTCAGGTCTTATCTTTGGGAAAGGAGAGGTTGGTTTTTCTGGATAATCATATTTATTTATTGTTAAAATGTTGCATGTCGAGTATACTGCAAATTGGATTTCATGGCCATTGTGTTGGAAAAGTTTTAACATGGAACTAGTGAATCATTTGATATTCTTGTTCAGATGGCTTTATCTTCGTAACACAATTTTTCTGTTCTTTGTAGTAAGCTTTGTTTCTTTTATGCTTAAACAATTTACTTGATTTTGCATTGTGATATGTACTATATGGATCTAATCGAAGCAGTGAGGGAAGGTTGATTCAGACAGAGAGGTTCAGAAATAGACATAGATAGTTGTACCACATTGGCTATTGGACACTGAGAATGGGGAAGGGTTTCACTTAGGTTGGGTAGAAACACTTGTAGCCATCTATCATGGGGTGCATGTATGATATTGCTACCTATTTTAGTGAGTTTTGACATGACACATACTCATTTTTTATACGTCTTCACAACAAAGCCTTGGGGGTGGGGGCATCTGAGATTGAATTATATCGAGTATTTATGACAGCATCCAAAAAACATGTAATATGCTTTAAAAAAATAAATTCAGTAATTATGCACAATAACATAGGGGAAAAACCATGAGATATATAACCTGAAATCCAAGTTTGAGGGAGAGAGAATATAAGTAGAGCATCAACTTTGACATCTGTTATGTGATTCTGTCTTGTGATTAGTTGGATCTTCTGCCAATTACCAAGCTGTAAAATTGTGTCTTCTCTTGCCATTGATTGTTATATTCTCTCGCCTCTTTAAGGTGTATTTGGAATTTTATCAACTTTTTCAGAGTTATCTTAGTTAGCAATAGTATTTCTAATTCGTCTATTTTTCAGGGTATTATTGGACTGGAAACTGAATATGGAACTCTTCATATTAAAGTAAGTGCTCAAGTTCTCAGGACCTCTAAAATAACAATGCTTTGATGTAGCAGTTGCACCAATGACATGCTGTTTGGGTAAAGTTAGGTATTGGTATATTATTTCTAGAAGCATGTGGGTACACTTGTATAAAAAAGAGTTCAAGAGGTAAATGAAATACTTGCTGATAGTCTAGCGCTTGGTCAGGTGGCAACCTACTTCTATGATATTGGTTTGACCTCCTTGTCCTAGGGAACCACCAAATCTCTTATTGTATGTGTCTGTATTGTAGCATATTATGAAACCATTATTTGAACTAAGTATCTTCATAAGAAATGTGCACTAAGGAGGTACGCTCATAATGATCCGATAAATAATAAATTCTTCTGTCTTGTTCAATGTTGTGTTTAATTTTTAGCATGCCTTCACTCATACTTTCTGTGTTCTTCTAACTAACATGATCAGATCAGTTAAACCTTTACTGGATAATTATGGAGAACCTCACAATTTTAATAAATTGTAGAGAAAATGGAGTATACCGAGTAAAATAAGTAAAATGTCTTTCTGTGCTGATATATTTGGATAATCAATCACTTGGGTTCATTGACTATGAAACGAGATGCTCATGGTTTCTGAAATTCTGTTAAGCATTGATGTCAGCTCCGCTTGCTGCACCTTATTTTTCTGTTACTACCTCATGCATCTTGATTGAGTCTTGTTACTTTGTATTTTGAAATTGCATAGTCATGAGCGAGGACTATGCTTAACTCTGGGAAATTCTTTATTCGTGCAGCTTTTACCTGATTGTGCCCCACACTCCGTTGCCTACATTCTAGAATTGTTGGCTTTGCACCATTGTGCTGGCTGCCAATTTTACCGCGCAGAGAGCCGAGGTCAATCATGGGATTCAGAAGGAAACCATATAGAAAATGTAAGACTGACTTTCCCATCTGATAGATATATGATTCGATGCACACAGATTTACGTCTATATCGCTATGCAGTTATCTGTGCATATTTTGTTGCGAATATCTGCATCAAAATCGCATTCTCAAGCATCAATCACTTTTTTCTGCAATTCTGTATCATGCTAGATCTTATCTTTGTTAATTATCCCCATCCATTTGACGTATGATTTTGTTGAGGTATATGTTTGCTGTTTCAGGGAGCATATTTTTCTTGTTTTCCCCCCAGCTATTTGAGATCCTGTCATATAACCATATATAATATATTATCATCTGTATAAGCAGCATGCATGTTATTTACAGATATCAAATCCAAAACTTACCAAAGATAATGGAATTATGATGCCAAATTACTTTGAATTGATTGATCCATGTTGAAGCAATTCAATCAATAAGTCTTCCGATTTTCATAGATCTAGTAATGAACCATGTTAAGGTGATTCACATATTATTCCCAAAGGAAAAAAGAAATGCCTTTATTAGTCTACTAACAAATTGTTGGTTTGAGTAAAAATGAATTCGATCATTTTAAATAAGGTCTTAGGTTTGAGTCTTATAGTTAGAAAATCGTAATTAGATTAAAAATACAGGTTTTCTAACATAGATTAGTCACAGATAAATATGGTTACCCAAAAAGTTTCTCATTGATTGCAAGTAATGATGTTTACAGTGTTGGATTGCAGTAACAATAAACGGTCCTGGTTTTGCAGGCTGCTTTTGGTCCCCCTTATGCATTAATTCAAGGGACACTGGAAGCCCAAGGCACAACATTCAATAAACTTCCAGTGGAAGATTGTCCAATCCTTCGAAGGGGTTCAGTTGCTTGGATTGGTTCTGGCCCTGAATTCTTCATTAGCCTAGCTGACCATTCAGAGTGGAAACATGAATACACTGTATTTGGTTCTGTTCTTCCAGAAGACATGCATATTGCTGAGAAAATCACTACACTCCCCACAATAGCCGATGTTTGGAACCATGTTAACGTGACCGTTTTGGAAAAACCTGTTCCCTTGTTGCTCCGAAGAATCCAGAAAAGCCACGTAGATGAAATATGAAACAAACTGTGTATCCATATAGATTGCAATTCTTTTGGTTCCAAAGCTGTAACTTTCACATTTTTCTTTTTGGATAAAGCTTTTTCTTCTTTTTATCTTATTTTTGTTACTACTTTTTTTTTTTTTGGATCTTTGTTTTCTGTAATTTCAAGTGATGAATTTCATTTTGAGAAGGGCTAATAAGAGAGGGAATACAAGGCTTTTATGTTACTAGAAGATTTCTTGCCAACAGAACAATGATCATACCTGAGGACATATTTATAACAATGCTAGATAATAGTTACATACATATTACTTCGTATCTCTAACTTGTTCAACTGTTACACTTAATGCAGCTCAATCTACCCCCATTTTCTGCTGCATGCCAATGCCATAAACTAGTATAATTTGAGAGACGAGATGAGGGGTAAAAAAAAATGAAATTTACATTGATTGAACCACAATAGCCATATCACCATATGTCTCGCTACAGAAATATAACTACGATCATAGCCCCCGAAAAAATCACCATCATGGGGCTACAGAGAAGCCCACAAAATGTTGACTCCGTTTACAAAATAACAACAAAGACCAAGTCTTTTTTTTTCTCTTCACTTAAGTGAAGTCTCCATGGATCATGGGATACTATGATCTTTTTCACCTAGTCCAAGAAAAGTAATTAAAATAACAAAAAGCTGGAGTTGCTCTCAGAATCAGATTCGTCTTGTGAGTTAGGTGCCAAGGTGAGCCATGGCATGGACTTGCTTGTTTGATATGGTGCTCTGGCAGCAATTCTGCAGAAACATTAGCAATATATAAATCAATTGATCCAAAACTGCTTAGTTAAAAAAATTGGGTAAATGTAATTTAGGTTCTTTCACTAAAATTGGTTTTAGTCTTCACAAGGATGAATTTAGTTCTTTTCTGAAGTGTGATAAAGTTTACCCCTGTTCATTTACTTTATTTTGAATTGACTATACCAAATCCACCACATTTTAGACAGACCAATGATATTTGAATACAAATTAATTACAAATCCACCATCAAAATATCTATCATTTCTTTCTATCTTTCTTCTTATCATATTATAACAGGTCATTCTTTTATACTTATACTTTTATCCTTTTAAGTGTCAAATAGCATATAAGATGATTGCAAATCATTTTTGTTTTGGAAAATACAAAGACCAAAATCACTGTTTTAATGAAGTAGGAATTAAAACAAATTTTTTAACCAAAACTTGGAAGGCTATACTTTTTGTTAATGTTTTAATTTCCACGACCCAGCCTACTTACCTATACTTTCTTTTCTCCAAGAACCGATGAAGCGAAGCCTTCCTAGCCAGTGGCAGATCTGAATAAAAAGGAACACAAAATGATGGATCAGAAACACATAAATAAACCGACACACAAATTACCATATTCTGAAATATTAGAGATCCAAAAAAATTACCACAAACAACAGGTTTGGATGGTGCTTGAGGGTGCTCCTGCACCGAAATTTTGGCAGTGGTAGGTATGACATTCATAAGAAAAGGAAATGGTCGAGTAGTGGAACTAGCAGAAGTTGTAGCAGGGAATGCATAAGCATACTCGTTCTGATTTTGAGACATTCCTGTGCTGGCAAAAGACAAGATGTCTTTGGCTTTGTCAGCTTGAACATCATCAACGACAATAACTTGACCACCATAAAAGATTGTCATCTGTGAACCTCTAGGATCATTGGTCACAACCCTGCACAACATGGAAGATCATACATTAGTTAAACATGCAGAGGCAAATTAGCAAGATTTTATGTTAATAAAAAGGATAAACCTTTGATACAATACTATAAGTACTGTTTTCCAATTACAATTAGAGTTTCAGGTCAGTGGTATACGTTGATATTTAATGAAATCTTTTATTATACATGATACTATCAACATGTAACACCAATTCTGATCCGATAAACACTAACAATACAACAATACTTATCTTATTGCGTATAAGTTTTATCCTAATTAAAAACAGCCATAAAGGGATGAACTTAAGAACACGAATTAAAGAAGCAAAAGAAAGGTACCTGGTGGAATTTTCCATGTTAGGAATCTCTTGTACAAGGAAATGAGAAGGATAAGCAAATTGTTGAGAGAGCAAATGGGAAGTTGCGAGGTTCCATGGATTCATCTTGTTCTCCTTTAAGGTAATGAGCACTTACAAATAAGCTAGTATTTTTCTCTTACTATGATGCCCCAATGAATTAAAGAGAATGAAGAAAGGCACAGTGAGTGATGCATAGGCATAGCCAAAAGATATTGAATCTTATCTTGATTTTAAAATTCATTTATAAAGGTGTGGAATTAAGGCACGAGGAATACATGGGGTTTAATTTTTTAGGTTTATTTTTACTTTTCAAAGACAGCTGCATCTGCTTCAAGAGGTGACGTGTGAGGTCAACTTGCGGTGTTATATCGATCATGGATTGGTCTTTGGTCGTGTCTGCTTCTGTTGTCAGAATTCCACAACGTGTTAATTGCCTCTCTTCGAAACGCCAAACAAAAAAGTACTACTCTTGTTTTTCACGTGCTTTTTAGGTGTGCTCGCACGTTGCTTAACCTAACCCCGTCAAAAAATATCTTACATTTTTTTTTTGGTACATAGCAAATATCTTATATACGGCTTTGTAAACATTAATAAGATTAGAAAATTAAAAAGAAAGACGCAAATTAGTGTTGAAAGTACAGATTAACCAAATGTTTTAAATCATAAAAAATATCTATATTTTTTAATGTATTAGTGACATTCGCGTGGTGGAATAACAACATAAGTTTATGTTGGCTCTAATTATGGTAAATTGGACTATTATAGAGGGACTTTAGTTTGGTTTTTTGGTTCAGGGTTTAGGTATTCACCTTTTGATCGTAACGTGATACTCGGTAAAATTCAAATAGCTAAGGGCCCAGCACTATGACTAACCTACAAGGAAAGCACAACTTTTAAGTTTTAATATTAAATCCATCATTTGCAGTTAATGCTTAATTGGTTTTTTATCATATGATTTATTATTTATTTTGCCTTTTAATCCTAAAATTAAATATATTTTTTTTTCACTAAACATATGCTTCTTAATAAGTCATTAGTTCCACTAAACCACTCAATCTATTAATTAAAGTTTTGAGTATGAATAGAAAAAATGTGATAGCGAGAAAGATCTCACAAAAATAGTCACTTTGGTTCGTAGCACATGGAATCCAACTTAAGAAGAGGGCAACCCAACCTTATATGATGATGAATGATGAGGATTGAGGACCAACAAGATATTTCATGGGCCTTAAATAGGAGTGGGGCCAAACATGATAGATTACTAAAAAAAACAGGATCATGATATATACACCTCTTTTCCTTTTATTATAAGTACACCTTTTTTTTTAAATAATAATTAAATTCTTAAAATGTCCTTAATTTTTATTTATTTTTTATTTTTTAATTTTACACTCTTAGTATCTGATAGAAGAGGTTAGGAGGAGTGGAAAATGACTTCTCCTTAGCTCTCCTTATGCACGGATCTTCTTCAATGGAGGTTGGCCACGAATTGAGGAACCAAAGAAAGAGGAGAACACGTAAGTAGGAAGGCCTAAGCCTTGAAGGAAGTATCTAAGTTCAAGCACTCAAGGGATTGCACACTTCAAAGAGAAGGAAACTAGGTTTTCCTATAGGAATTTTGAAGGCACTCTCTAAGGCTCTCTCTTGAAATTTCGGTGACTCTTGAAGATGGCTGAATTCTATTCAAAAGTGTTTGTACAAGGAGAAAGTCACACATTTATAGGTAGAAATTAGGTCAAATTGGCGCCACTCCATGTAGTAACAATTGGCGCCAAGTTTGAATTTCAAAATTTGAATTTGAAATTCAAACTTCAGCCAATTAGATGACTAATCCGGATGGCCCCTCATTTAGATGTCATTTAAGAGTTATTTGAAGTGAATTTGGAGCTCACATGGCCGGAACCACTCCATGCCATCCATGTGACTCAAATTCAATTCAAATTACTTCTAAATGACACATGAATGAAGCCTAATTTTCCTATTAATGTATACTTCATATAAACCTATGCTAATGACCGAAATACATTGGTCTAATGAATACAATGAATATAAAAAATTACAAGAAGAAGAATGAGCCTAATATTGGGTATCAAAAGCCCAAAGCCCAAGAAGCCCAAAAATAAGCCCAAATACAAAAACCCTATTCTATGGTCAAAATACAAGACCAAACATCAAAGTAACTTCCTATACTAAGTAATGCAATAAAACATGGTGTTTATTCAAGTAATGTCCATGTAAGAAGCACCCTAGGCCCACCAAGCCCATTGGGCCCACTAAGCTCTGAAGCAGACAAGTCTTCATGTAATTTCCTGGCCATAGCTCTAGTGGTTGGGCCTTTAGCCCATGCTCTTCCATCAGTATCTTTTTAGAAGAACACAAAAAGTTACACCTTTCCATGAAATGATACAACCATGGAATTTTTATCTATAAATATGGGTGATTTTTCTTTTAAAAGGTTAGGAACTCAAATGTGAAAAACTATTACAAAAACTTCTTGGCCATAATCACTTGCAAATTCTTTAAGAGTTCCTTAAGGATCTTCATCTTGTAATATCTACTCTTCAAGAGAGACATTTGTCAAAATTATTCTATCATTCAATCTATAAAGGAGAAGGTGTTTTTCTCCTAGGTGTTTGTGGATCTCAACACAAGTAAAGAAAATTTCAAGGTGCTTGAGGATTCAAGTCTTGTAAGGATTACAAGGATAGTGAAATCTCAAGTGGGAGACTTGAGGACTGGACGTATGTAGAATTGGCCGAACCAGTATAAAATCGAGTTTGCAAATCCTTCTCCTTACTCTTTTATTTATTCCTTTGACTGTGTTTAAGTAGTATGCATCTTCATTCTTTACATATAAATTTATCTAAGGAATTGAATTTATAAGAAAGTAATTCGAAAACTTTTAAAAGAGAAAAACTTGAAAAATTTAATTCACCCCTTGCCCCATCTTAAGTTATATGAAGCTACTTGTCTAACAATAATGTCTTAGCCTTTTAATTCTCAACAACTATTTTAGTATATATTGTACTAGCCGTTATGATCTTTATCCTTATATATTTAGTACCTTCTACATTAAAATTTAATTTCTACAAAACTTATGATGAAAAGCTTACTTGAAAATAATGTTTTAAAAGTTGAATCAGTCATTAAACCAACTAGAGTACTAGATTAGTAAGTTATTCATAAATCATTAATTAAATCACATAATTCAATTTTTATATAGTTTTTTTAAAAATAATATTCATGTTAAATATATTTCATACCTATAGTTTATAATATGCCTTAGAGAAGCCTTCAAAAAAAATTTATAGTCAATATGACAAATTAACCAAATTATAAGCCGATTAAATTGTATAAATTAATATATATATATATATATAATATAATTTTAAATTAAAAATATACTATTTAAATTATTTAAGTCAATTATATAATAATAGAACATCATACTTAAATGGTCACCAAAGTATTAAATAATCACATTTACAAACGAACCTGTATATTCAACAAACTGCTGGTTTTACTAGTTAAACTGCAAAACCTGTTGGCTGGTCCGGTTTACATCGGTTTATAAACAATCCTCTGAAAAACTCGAACCAACCGTGTCTCCGGTTAATGATCCGAACGATCGATCCGACTCAAATTTGCAAACTATGTTCGAAATAGCTATTTAAAAAATAAATATATCAATTGTTCTTAAAAAACTATCAAATCCTGACATGACGAATGGTTACTTTAAAAGAAATACTATTCACTCAAATGCATGGTTCCCCACATCATTTGCAACTTTTTTAATCCTTTGGTCTAATCCTCGTTGAACGATATTGAAGATTAAAACTATAATTTTCTTAATAATTTAGTTGAAATGTATTCACAGTATAATGGTTATTTATAGAGTAATTCAATCATGGATTGTTATATAATTGAAAATTAACTTTGTAATAATTATTTTAAAAATCATGTAGTGATTTCTAATTTGATAATGTAAAAACCTTCACAGCAGAAGTGTATTAAAATTAAACTAAACCTAAAGGATAAAATATCAAAATGTCATGCAAATTGTAAAACTACACCGTCTACAAATGCATTGGCGGTAACACAAGTTGGAAATCTCGTACCATTTCTTAATCTTACTATTTATTGTTTTTAGATTTGTAGAATTCACTAATTTTAAAATCTTATCAATCATAACGCTGGCTATCCATACTGCCATATTGAAACATTCAAAATCCATTGAATAGTGTGATACTTGTCTTCTATACTTTTGGCCTGAAAAGATGAGATTGTTGATGCGTTACAACTTTGAAATAGCATATGTAGGCAGATTGTTGAACCTTTTAGGAAGCTCAAAATCTTCCCAATCTTTATCATCAAGCTTAGAGAAGTATCGATCAACATCACTATCACTAAGAAGCTCCAGTTTGGAAGGTTCCCACTGAAAAAGACATCAACACCATGAGAACCAAAAAACAATTTCAATAATACTAATTTAAGTGTAGGAATGTTCATGGTAAAATGGGAAACGATATAACATCAATGATCAATGGGGCTACCCACCTTTGGGTTCCTATCTTTATCTATCAATATAGCCCTACAACCCTGCAGTAAAGCATAACATTAAGCACAAGGCATGGAAGAAAAATAATCTAAAAGATAACCGTGTATAAGAATTCATCAGATAACCTCAAAGAAATCCTTGCTGTAGTGTCCTTTTAGAATATGACAAACAATCCTATATTCACAAACAAGGCACGGACCAACACCTAGGAGCCTTCCTTCTCTAATCTGAAAATGCCAAACGAAATTGAAAAGTTGTTATAATTACAATAATGATTGTCAGTCTGATGATGACGACGATAAAAATGAGAAGATAAGCAAGTTCAAATCGCTAGAAAAGAAAAATTACAATACAAATATTTGTTATCTCTATAGGACAGATATAAACAAAAGGTCATAGGTTGAATATGTCTGTTAGGACTACAGGGAAAGGGGGGTTAGTCAGGATAGTTAGAACATTAATGAGTTATTTAGTTAATTAGAGGGCTTAATTAGATATGAAAAGGGGAAGAAGGATAGAAGGGTGCATTCGTATCTTTTCATTTGTAAATCAAGTATTAGCTCTTTGTGAAAGGAGAAATTCTCTGAGGAGAGTTACCTCTCCTATTCTTTGTTCTATTGCAATCAAGAAATAAAATCCTTCTTTTTCTTTCTCATTTCAATTCTTGGATCCTAACAATATACTCATCCATTTCACATGTGTCCATAATAACAAAAATGTTTCCAACAACCAGCCTACTTCATGCAATGGGGGGAAGTGGGTTTGGAATATAAGGAGTAACAAATAGTAACAAGTTACAAAAATCGGGAATTGCTAACAATCCTCGCAAGAACAATATTTGTATTAATAACTTTATTACTTGTACGGCCCGTACACTTGTCTTGGGTATTTTCCTCTAACACAAGTTTTAAGCATCATTATTGGGAACTGTAGTCAATACTATTTCAATAAAGGCAATACTACTTTAGACATTCTTTTTCTTTTTCATAATTTTGTTATATTATTGATTCTTTGAAAGAAAAAATCTTTAATTCTTTATCTTTCTCCCTTAGTATGCAAGGTAAGTTCATTAAGAAACTTCTCTTCTATCCTGAAATAGAAAGAAGTCTAAATGCAAGGTATGAAGATGCTCCCTAGATCCTTGGAACAGTTTTTGTTGATTAGCTACAGGTTTTGGTAGAAGTAAAGGACCCAGAATTGTGGAATGCTCAATATATTTTAACACTTTGGTGATTTGATATCAACTTAACTGGATGAGCAATTTCTTGGGATACGATCTACTAACAATATTTTTAAAGGAAAGTCGTTTATATATATGTTGAGGGATTGGGAAGCCTGGCTTCATGTTTGGTTTGTTCTTTTTGGGTGTAAAGCCTTTTTCTTCTCTTCATTTTTTGAGGAATTCTTATCCTCTTAACTCTTTATTATTATCTTCTCTTTCTCTTGATCAATTCATTCCTTTACATATTCAAAATAGAAAAATGCTACAAATATACTTGAACAGTTGAAGATATAAAAGAGAAGTGAACTTTAGAATATACATAAAACATAACTTTTAATACATTCTGGACACATACCAATCTAAGAAAGACTTTAAGGCTTGTCGGAGATGCTTTCTTTAAGGTTTGAATAGTTGCAGAAATCCAACTGTCGGCCTTACTTGTAGCCTCCATCTCCTAAAACAGCAAGATAAAATTCAGGTTGCTAAATGGCAAAAGTTCATCCTTTATCATGCTGAAGGTTAATAATTAGATATTTTCAATAGCATAACTCAGCCCAACTTACAAGAGAAGATAATATTTCCTCAATTGATTTTCTAGAGAAGCATTTGTTGATCACAGCCATTCTGCAATGAGACACCACAAGAAGCAGAGATAAATGAGAAATGTACAAGACAAAGCTTGCATGCTCAAAACTAATAGAACCCCAAAACACTTCAGGTCTGATTGTATTATTGAAATAGACAACGGAGCTGATACAGCTCCTACTGACAAGGGTAAACAGCAAACCAGGGCATATAGCTCCTCCAGAGAGATTCTCCTAATTGCCTTATACTATTGTCCTACCACCTCTTACTATCTTTCTTAGTCCCATACTGATTCTAACAGAATTCCAGTATTCATGCCACGTCACTAACTAATTCTCCCTTGGTCCCACTTTCTTTCTTTCTACTAGAATAAACTCTCCAAAATATGGGCTTCTTTGGGCTGAACTCCAGCAACTGAACGACTTCCTGCCCTGCGTCAATCTGTGTTCCCACTTTCTTTCTTCTAGAATAAACTCTCCAAACTATGGGCTTCTTTAGGCTGAAGTCCAGCAACTGATCCAATTCCTTCCCTGTGTCAATCGGTGATTTGCATGTACTATTGAAATCTATAATGGGTATAAGCAGAGAATATGGGTTTCTCAAATGTTCTGAAACTGAAAACTAAACTACTCAACAGAACCAAGTTAGACAGCTGCCTTATATAGAGAGAGAGGAGGGTCGTTATCACTCAGTTACATAAGGATACCCCGTGACAGTTGTAACTGTCTTAACTAACACTAACATATCTAACTGTAACAGATAAACTAGTATTAGCTGTACTACCTGGCACAACCTGACCAGGCATAGCTGACAGGCAGCTGAGACCAACACTAGAAGAGGGGGACACATGGCAGTAATGCAGGAGAGGATTCTGTTATGAGTGGAAAGTTGTTGCAGGGGAAAGCAATGATTACATGAGTAGATGCCGAAAAAAGACGTTAGAAAAGAATTTTGGTAGTGATTAGGCTCAGGACCTCCAACCCCTAGGAGTTAGAGATATTCACTGCTCACTATTTCTGTGCTGTCATCACTGCTTTGTGTGTGTATTCTTCTTTGGGTGATAGTTTTGTTTCAGTAGTTTGTGGGTATTTCTGAACAGTGTCTGCTTCATAAGCCATAAGAAATAGACCCTTTGAGATTGTGCAGGATGCACTTGACTGATTTCCAATGAGACTCAATAGGCTGCGACATGAACTGATGGACTTTGTTAACAGTGACTAATTTCAGGTCTGGTTATGGTTGTGTTGAATATCTCACATCAACTAGTAATAGGGTCAAAGCAATGTATATAAGTGGGAGGGTAATCATCACTTTAAATCTGGTTTTGTGAGGTTGGATTAAGCCCAACTCTGCTTACTAAGATAATATCAGAGTGTATCATAGCAATTGTTGTTGGGTAAATGTCCAGTCCTATAATCTTCACGTGTTCAGCCATCGGTATGTGAAAAGTGTTGGAGATTTTACATCGACCATTGATATAGACAAAGTATTGTTTATATAAGTGTTAGACAACCATCACCCTTCAAGTCAGTTATGTGATGTTGAGTTAGGTACAAATTCACTTTTTTAGAGGTTGCAAACTGCAAGGAACCAATACAGAGTCAGGTCTGGGGCATAATCAGAACCATATTTTGAGGGTTTGCAGCCACCTGTCGTGGGAGAGGAGATGCCAGTGACATTCATCATATCGGCTATATAGCAAGGAGATCTCACATGGGCTTGCTTTGAGACAAAAGAAGTGAGCAACCAGGTAGATGTTCTGATACCATAGTAGAAATTTATAGTGAAAGACAGATAGAAAAGCGCAAGAGAATTCTTAAATGTACTGAAAACTGAAATTACTTGACTGATACAAGTTAGGCTGCGATCTTATATACAGAAATAGATGAGGGTTATAACCACTCAGTTACATTAGTATTCCACAAGACACCAAGTGGGAAATTGCTTTTGTTGTTGCTGCAGTTTTGTGTGTATGCTAAATTATTTGTGTATCTATTGAAGGATTCGATTCTTGTTTGTGTATATAATATGTTGTATTTATTTGTTACATATCGAGAACCAACCTGTGATAAACACTGTCCTCTTTAAGAAAAGGTTGCTCTGAGTACTTATTGATAATTGCAGACACTGCATTTGGATCACTAGTTTCCACTTTGCATAATGCTTCTTCCAATAAAGACAATTTCTGCGCAATGTATGATTATAAAAACCAGAGTTGAAACATCACAATAGTAAGAAAAAATTATTATGCATTATATAATCACAAAATGTGTAAGAGAGAATTAATATGCATTATAAAATCATAATAACTTTCCAAAAAGAATACCCAACATAACCGATTGAAATCAAGAAGTTTAAATTAAGATCAGCTTTTGTCATCTTTTTTTATTCTTAAAATAAATAAATCTTCCAAGTAGCTAGGTTGGATAAAAATCTTATGAAAAGCGTCTCTAGGTAATAAAATGTTATACCAACTCTGAGGTGCATTTGAAAAGCATCTATGACTTCCTAACATTTAACCATAGATATTTTTGTGACATACTTACAACCCCCAGGCCTGACTACAATTGGTTGACCATTATGTTTCAAAACTGCACTAAATCTTTCTGCGTGCACGTTTTTTATGACTAAGTTTAGGCATGTAATTACCAAATTCGAAAGAACCCACAATCATAGTAGTAGGTAGCCTACCGATGAAGGAACAAAATGTGTTGCAAGACCACAAGCAAGCATTTCTGCACCATCCAACCTAGCACCTGTAAGACCAACATATTCTCCTGCAATTTGTTTTCCAAAGAAATGAGAAAAGGACGAAAGGTGTGTTTGAGAATCCTGAAAAGTTGTTGATATTATAATAAGAAGTGTTCAAACAAAACAATATCATCAATATTACAATCCAAATCCAACAAGGCAAAAAGATAAACAATCATGAAAATTCAAGAATCCATCCCCTCTTCCCTCCCCACCCCCTCTTTCTATCTCTGTATGTGTTTGTTAATACACTAACAAAACAGTAACACATGAAAAGTATGCAGGAGACATCACAATTGACAAGAACAATTAAAAGATCGGGAAATAAAGTAACCTTAATACAAAGGAAACCAATAAGGACTAATTAACTTTATAGATATAAAATGCATACCAAAAAATCCGGGTAGTCTAGACAAGAAATATGAGGCACCTACATCGGGAAACAAACCCAAAGCAGTTTCTGGCATTGCAAAGACCTGAAAACACTAGAACATGTAGGTCATGAAGTACAAACAGAAAATTTAGATCATTTTGGACATCTATGCACCATCTTGGGGGGGGGGGGGGGT